GCTGAGGACCGGCCTCATTACCCTGAATTCCTTTGCTAGAGAGACCATGAGAAACTTTTACATCAAATCAGAACAGAGAGGGTCCTCCAGGGGGGTTTCTTCTTGTTATTGAGCGGAGAAGTGAGCCCTCCTGGAAGCTGGTGGTGGGGACAGGAGGAGCTTTTTCTACAGGCCACGTACATTCCTATTTCAGTACCCACCTGTTGAACTGTACTGGGTCCTGAGCACCTCTCTCCCCCACTGCAATTGCACCTCCGAAGTGCCAGCCCCGTGAACCGAGAAATTTTCTCAGTTCAGACTTGCCTAGAGCCATTTTTTCCATTGGAGGTGTTTGAAGGAACTTAAACAATAGGACTGTCTTTGCAGAGACATAGCTAAGGAAGTGGATGTGGAATTGGAAGCTGATGATATCCGAACAGCAAGGCTCTCAGGCTGTGTTCAATTGTGCTTCAGTAGGAAAGACTCTGATTCAAAGACATCTCTTATGTTATAGGGAACGAGCTTTAGAGAGACTTTAATGAAAGCACCTTTTCAAAATAATGAGTCTAATCTCTCTGCCTAGAGAAGCTAGAGAGAAAAGCAAACAGCCAGGGAATTGTAGCCTATCATAATCAGTGCATGGATCACACTCCACAAATCCCTGATAAATTGGGGCTGTCAGACATGTTCCTTTTAATAGGCAATTCCTGCCCCCACACTACTTACTCAGTTAATATTGCACAAGGAATGACAATGCTCACCAAGAATACATGCTTCTCAAACACAGTTGTACAGACTGTCTGGTTCCAAAGCTCCACTGTCCCAGGTTCTCCTGCACCCCAAACAAAGGAGCCGAGATAAGAAGACTGCATGGGACATGTTTGGCCACATATTCGGCACCATCTCTAGCTGGTTCATGTCAACGGCAGCTTCTCAGACTCATTTCTAGAGAGCTTTCCATTTCTTCTGTTCTTGTTTACTCCACTGATACCCTCACCCATCCATAAAAGAGCTCTCCATAGGTCCTAGTGGGACCCTGCTGGCTGGTAATTCACAGGACAACCCAAATGCTCCTTCCAGTAGCAGGATTGAAGAGGGACACACCATGCAGCCCACTGCTCAGCTGCTTTTGGAACACCTCAGATGGAAAGGTTGACAATGCCCCAAACCCACACTGCTGCTAACAGGGAATACCCCCTCTGCTCCATCGTATCAGCCATCCTTTCCCATGATGGGCAACCTCCAGGCAAAGAAATCAACCGGGCCATGATGTCTGGATTTGGTAATGGGGGGGAGGGGACACTCCCCAGGATGAACTAAACATTTAAGGCTTTAATATAATACATTGCCCTTCTCTAGCACCTGTAATATGGGAATCTGAAAGAGCTTCACAGACACTGGCTGAGCTCCACAACTTCTCAGTGGGGTGGTTTACTCTCCCTTTGCAGCTGGGGAATCAGAAGCGAGAGAGATTACGTGACCTACCCCTCATCACGCAGGAAGTCTGCATCAATGCAGGAAACCAAATCCAAATCTCTTGACAGCAGGTTTCCTGCCTTACCCACAAGACCTTCCTTCCTCCTATACATGTCCTTACACCTGTCCCTGTGCCCGCGTGCCTTGTCACTCCAGCTATCCTCTGGCCAGGACGGTTCATATTCAGAACTTCCGACCACTCAGCAACCCTGTTTGGCTAACCAGGCTCAATGTTTGCCTCCTGCGGCATGCCCTTCTGCAGCACTACCAGCCTGGCAGTCATCTGTAGGAACCCTACCCTTGGTCTCAATATCACTTAATGCATCTTCAATTCTGCAGCCAGAACATTGGGAATGAAACCCGCCCAGCGTTGCGCTCTCTTGGCTGCATCTGGTCCAGTTTAATTTCCACTGAATCCTAACTGCAAATTCACACGGAGGTGATAATTGACAGACTCCTTGTGCCAACATAACCAATCAATTTCAGCATCCAAACATTAACCACGCAGGGACTCTTTCCAAGCTTTGTTTGTTACAAAATATGACTGGCATTTTATGGGCACTGGCACATCTGTCTGGAAAATCAGAGCACATCGAGTCAGGCAAAGGGTTAGAAAACAAACAGATATAGGAGCAAGCCCACAACACACTTCGGCTTGACTTAAAACAGCAGTTCTCTTCCACCCAGTGCCAAGGATCCTCAAGGCAAAAATCCATGCCCTCTCTCAGTGCAGTCACCCAGGTTGTGTCACATATCCAGGGGATACAGCCCAAGTGGCAGTGCTTCCTGTGAGCAGTTTGAAGGGGAGAGAAGGTAAAATCTTTGTAGGGGAGTTAGAGTACCTTTCCCCGGGAAAACTCGTTTGAAAACTGTCAGACAACCAGGGGAGTGTGTGTAAAATTCTGGGCTGCAGTGCCATCCATATATCATCTAGGTTCTCACGTTCCCCTTTGCATTGTAGTGTCTTCATACGGGATCAGAGGGTTGATTTGCATTAGAGTGCCTAGAGGCCCCAGTCAAGACCAGAACTCTGCTGTTCTGGGCACAGCACATAGCAAGAGATAGTTCCTGGCTCAAAGAGCTTACAAACTAATTAGACAAAGGGTGGGAAGGGAAACAGGGTAAGTTATTTGCCCAAGATCATACAAAATAGGTCTGCTGCAGCCATTGAAATAGAACCCAGGCCTCCTGACTCCCCATCCAAAGTCCTAGCCACTAGACTGTGCTGCCTCTCAGCTCTACATCTTCTTTCATGGATGCAGACAATGCATTTTCTCTGCTTCCTAGTCTCTTACCAGGATTGGGACTTGTATGACAGGAAACTGTCTCCAATCTCTATCTCTCTCTAATACCTGGGACCAATACAACTACAACAATGCACACAACAAATGGTCTGAAATTCAACCCGGAAAGGCAGAGGTGACAGGGGAAAGCAGTACGTGAATCTGAGAGGGTGCAATCTGCCCTCTCTCGAGCAAGAGTGCCTCTTTTTAACAGTGGGATGTATAGTCTCCTGGTTCTTTTGGACTCCCAACAGCCTATGGAAGCTGAGGTAGTGGTGATGGACACTAGCATTTTGCACTGGGCTAGGAGGTTATGATTTTTCTTCTTTAATACAGACCCCACCACAATGATCCATGCCTTTGTCTCTGCTATGTGAGACTGCTCCAAAGTGCTCTGCACTGGGGGTTACTGAAGCTTCAGCTGGTGCAGAACACGTAACATATTTGCTTGCTGTTAGTCATATGCACATAATCATCCTGGGCTGGTAGGGAGAACTGGCTTCCTATCCGCTTCAAGATCCAATTCAGAGCATTGATTCTGTTCCAGATCCTGGCTATAAGACAACAGCTTTCTATGAACCATGCCTGTAACTGAGATCAACTGAAGGACTTCTTGCTGATACAGACCCAGTAATATTGTCTGATGGGACCTTTAGTCTCTAAACTCTGTACCCTAAAAGACAAGGGTGGTTATAATCTGTTCCGTTTTAGATAAGAGACATAGCCCTTGGGCTTCGGGCACATTGCCAGCATAGCTCTTGGTTGAGCAGACTGGTCAAACCAACGAACATGAACAGGGTTTTTCTGCATAGACATCCATCGCCACAGGGGATACGTTGGGGCATGATGATGATGAACCAGCTCAGTGAGTACTGGGCCTTACTAGAGCAGGGTGAAGGAAGCCCATGGATGTGCTCTCTTCCGAGCAGTTGGAGCTGCCTTCAATGCTCCAGTCAAGAGAGGTGGCAAATCTTCAGTGGGAGCTTTTCTCCAATAAATTCTTTCCTTCGGCTGCTATTGATACTGAACAGTTTTTGCCTCAAATACCAAAGGGAAGGATCTTGTGCAGAGATAAGAAGCAGTTACTCCACTCTCACAATTGCTTCCTAGCTAAATCAACTTGGATAAAAACCCAAAAGAGAGCAAACTGCAGAAATTCTTGATTTCATCCCTATTGTTATCCCACATGTGAGAAATCAGCAGTCCATTTCCTGCTGCCTCTTCTGTTCCTGAGTATCTTCACTTATAAGAAAGCAACACTGCCTTCAGTTTAATTCACCCGCCATCTTGGTAGCAGCTGGGCAAATTCCTGGAAACTCCGATTGCTCTATCAGATAGTCTAACTGAAGAAAAGCATCAAGAATGCAAATAGCTTGATGGGCATCACACTTTCATTTCATCAGCTCAAAGTTAGAGTACATGACCAGTGAGGAAGCATGGGGGTCAGGCTTTGGGTTCTCTTCCCAGCTCTGCCACTTAAATGTGTGACCCGCGGAAGATGACACAGAAAGGAATTTTCAAAAGTGCCTGTATGGCTTAGTCCTGCTGACTTTCAATGGGACTTGTGCTGATAAACTATGTCGGCATTTTTGACAATCCCATTCTTAATCTATATGTGCCTCAGTTTCCCCATCTGTACAAAACCGGATGATGCTGAGAAATCCCCAGAAAGGCAAACTGTTTACACTTAACAGTCAACACAAGTTTCAGCGATGTGTTTTATTTATGGATAATGGCACAATAGGGAGTGACTGTGTCATAGACAGGCATGACTCCAAGGACACATACTCAGTGTCGAACAGGGCTGGCTGAATTCCTTGCTTAGGAAGGAGCTGTGGTCAAGTGAAAAATTCTCGAAGTATCATAACCAATGAAGTTATTCTGAGGTGTGATTATTGCTAGTTGAAAACTTTAATCTAAAGATGTGCATGTATGTACTAAGCTCCCTTCCTTGCGGTGTTCCCCTTTAAATCTTCCAGTCAAAGCTGACAGCTGGGGAAGATGTTTGGGGGCTGGGCCGCCGGGGCAATAGACGAAGCCTGTCCAAAGTTGCAGGTGACTTACGCTTTGCTCCGAGGACGCCCTGTGGCCCCTCTCTGACACCACTGGGATACTGGTGGGTCCCATTTCTACCCACGCGCCGCTCCAGACGGCGCCCACCTTTCCCTGGGAGCCCAGTTCCCCCGCCCCCCACCCGGCCAGCTATATAACGCCTGGCCCCGGGCGCTAGGCCCCCGGGCGGGGAGGGAGCATGCTCAGGATGGGAACCCGCTTCCCGCTCCTCCTGCTGCTGCTGCTCGCCAGCGTCCCCGCCTCCCGCTCGCGGGGCTGCAGCGGGGCGCCCCGGCCGGCGGGCGAGGCGCGGCCTGGGGGGGCCCCGAGGGAGCCGCCGCCGCCGATGCCGGAAGCGGGGCCCGGGGACCCCCGGAGCGGCAGCCGGCGGCTGAAGATCGGCCTGATCTGCGCGCTGGGGGCGCTGGTGATGGTGAGCAACGGGGCGGTGCTGGCGGTGCTGGCCTCGGCCGTGGCGGGCTGGCGCCGCAGCAGCCGCCTCACGCTGCTCTCGCTGGCGGCCGCCGACGCGGCGCTGGCGCTGCTGGTGGTGCCGCTCAACCTGTACGGCAGCCTGGCGCGCGGGGCCCCGCCCGAGCCCTACTGCCGCGCCGCGGCCTTCCTCAACGCCAGCGTCTTCGGCGCCGCGCTCTACTCGCTGGCCGGCGTCTCGCTCGAGCGCTACGTCGCCGTCTTCTTCCCGCTCCGCCACGCGCGCCTGCTGGGCCGGCGCCGCCTCGCGCTGCTGCTGGCGGCCGCCTGGCTGGGCCCCGCCCTGCTGCTGCTGCCCGTCGCCCTGCCCGGCCGCGCCGCCGTCCTGCGCGTGCGCTTCTCGGCCGCCGCGCTGCTCTGCGAGCCGGACTACGGCTCCAACGCCGCCTACGCCGGCCTGCTGGCCGCCGCCATCTTCTGTCCCGCCGCGGCCACCGTCACCTTCGCCAACCTGCGCCTCTGGCAGGCGGCGCGCGCCCAGCGCCGGCGCGGCGACGGGGCGGGGCCGCCCGGCCAAGGGGCGGGGCTGAGGCGGCTCCGCCTGCTGCAGCTGGACGCCGCCTCCCGGGTCCTAGTGCCCGTCGTCGTCGCCTTCTACGTGTGCTGGGCGCCCTGCATGGCCACCATCCTGTACAACGGTGAGAGTCGGCGGGGGAATATGGGAAAGGGGGGAGCAGTAGGGTGGGGCAGGGGGATGGGATGGGGAAGAGGGTGGTGGGGAGGGGGGAGGGGTAGTGGGGAAGGAGGAGGAAGGAAGGAAGAGGCAGTAGAGGGGCAGGGGGATGGGGCAGTAGGATGGGGAAGAGGGCGGTGGGGATGGAGGAGGGGGGAGGGGGCAGTGGGGAAGGGGGAGGAAGGAAGGAAGAGGCAGTAGAGGGGCAGGGGGATGGGAGGGGGGATGGGGCTGGGGGAGGGAGGCAGTGGGGTGGGGCTGGGGGATGGGGGAAAGTGGAGTGGGGCAGGGAGCAAGGGGATGGGATGGGGTAGGGGACAGTAGGGAGGGGAAGGGAGATGGTGGGTGTGGGATGAGCTGGGTGGGAGAGACATGGGGTATAGGTAATGGAAACGGGATGAGCTGCGGTGGGTACCACACTCTTACAAGCCTATGCCCAGGGTTGGTGCTGGGCTCCCTTGGCGAGCAGGGAATGGGACCCTTACACAATGAGGATGGAAGAGGTTACGTGGAGCTCCCTCGGGTGTGTGGGGGGGTGCGTGTGTTTGTGTCACGCCCAGGTTGGCGCAAACAAAAACTGCCCATGCTTTTAGGATCTCTGAGCTTTTTAAGCCAACCTCCTCATGTCTTTGGGGATCTGACTTGTGTGTGTAACCTGTGGGGCTGGCAATACTAGGATCAGCCCCTGCTGGGGAGGGGCACCTATTATTAGGTGCACTTGCCCTGTCCTGGGGGAGGGATAGCTCAGTGGTTTGAGCATTGGCCGGCTCAACCCAGGGTTGTGAGTTCAATCCTTGAGGGGCCGCTTAGGGATCTGGGGCAAAATCAGTACTTGGTCCTGCTAGTGAAGGCAGGGGGCTGGACTCGATGACCTTTCGGGGTCCCTTCTAGTTCTATGAGATAGGTATAGCGCCATTTAAAAAAGAAAAAAAGACCCAAAACCAAGGGGTGGTTGGGAGCCCCGCTTGAAGTGGCCTGGCTTTGAGTGCTTGCATGGGAGAGGCGAGGGGTGGGGAATCCTTTGCATTGCTTTTGGGGATGGGGATGCTGCAGCAAAAGGGGGCCAGTAAATACCTAGATCTTGCCCCCTAATACGAGGGCCAGGGATTCCTTCTCTTGACCGTTCCCCCTTCCTGTAGTCACTTGGTGCAGCAATTGGGAGACTTGGTTTCCCTTCACCTCTGCCCATGTTACAGGTGAGTCGTGGGCTCAGCTGGGGCAAGTGAGGGTCTAGAATGGGAGCATCACACTAGTGATCCTGGGTTGGTGTGGTGCTGAGGCTGCCCGCAATGGGTGGGGAAGGACCACAGGGTCTCACCCCTGGGCATGAAGAGCCCTGTGTAATGTGGGGAATGCTCACCTGGTGCTCTCCTCCTTGCAGCAATCACGAAGGACCGAGTTCACGAGTGGCTGGAGTTTGTGGCCCTGTGGCTGCCTAGCGGCAGTGGCTTCCTCAACTGCTTTGTCTACTTCTGGACCAACAGGAACTTCAGGCACAAGTTCCAGAAGATCGGGCACAAGCTCTGGGGGCCCTGCAGCCGAGCCAAGTGGGAGCAGGACGTGCACAGGATGGTCACCATCAGTGCAGCGGTGGAGAGGAGCAGCAGCCAGCCTGCTCTCCCCCTGGACCGCTCCTGCAGTGGGTCGTCCACCAGCACCTTACTGCCCAGAGAAGCACAAACTAGCCTATAAGCTACTTGGACACTTTCTGTCAGCTGCAGTGTCTACAAAAGGCCGTTGCTGTGCTGGGTTCTATACAGCGCGCCAGGCTCTTTGTGGCCTGCAAGACGTGCGACCGCCTGGCTTTGTCAAGAGCCTGGACGCTGCTGCCTCCTGCGGGGGCTGGGGCTGCTCTGGCTGTGGGGAAGGAAATTGTCAAACCTCACCAGAGGAGGCCAAGCGTCTTTCCGTGAGCTTCACCGAATGGTGTCAGTGGAGAAATATACAAAGAGTGTTTGGGTTAAGGAGCCCTTCCTGGGAAGGGGTTTTGTGTGGGAAACTGGTCACAGCATGGACGTGAGCTTCTGCTATGAAAGAAACAGGACATTCACTCGGAGCGAAGTGCCTTGAACCATCCCAGCTAGGGGCAGAGAAGGTATAAAGTCCCTGCCGCCCGACAGCCCCACTCTTGGATACTGTAGATCACAGGCAACTCCCCCTCTGATCAGTGCAGTGTGACAAGGTCTCCCTCTAAGCCAAAGGGGACGTGGTTCTCTCCCCGGCAAGCCAGGTCACTCCAGAGTACCTGATGGGTTGGCAGTAATGGCTAGTGCCAGGTGTGCAGGAGAAGGCTGGGTGAAGTTTAAGGGCTGAGGGGAAGGTGTGAGATCCTGACTGCAAAGGGGACTGTCAAGCAGGCATTACGGTTCATGCCCCATGGCGATTACACCTGCCACGTGATCACTTCTGAAACCTGCCCAAGGGCCTGCTGCTCTGGCTGCAGACTTCATACCTCCACTCACCAGGTTCGGATTCTGCCTCCTGCTCTGTTTGCCATCCCAGCTGGGTGATCCTCCTTCCCCTCCCCTCTCACTTCACGGGGACCCTGGACATAGAAGGACACAAACTCACTTGGGGGGGGAAATACTTTTATATAATTTAAAAGAGAAAACTGGAGCTTCTGGCGCGACAGTCTGTCTGGTTTTAACACCTTTTTACCTCTGCCATCCAGATGTTGGGGGGGGGGGGGGGGTTTAGAGTAGGTTTTAGTTAAATTGGATAAATTCTCATCGTCCGTGTGTTTGATCAATCTGGACAAAGGACTCCAGGTCACGGGGTGGAACTTCAGGGAGCCCCTTGCTGACAGCATTGATTTTTGGGTGCTCTCCTAAACTGTGTCCTGTGCAAAGGAAGAAGCAGCAGGCTGATGAGTAGCCTCACTCCTCCACTGTATGGCTGGGGGTTTTGCTAGGCTGAATGTCCCATCCTAATTGAAGTATCCCCTCCTGAAGCTCCCTCTCTTGCACTTTGCTGGCCCACTCCCCAGAAACAGGTGAGGAAATTGACGTTTTGTAATTAGTTAACCAGACTTTTAGTGACTTGGGCTGGTAATGGAGAAAGGTCAGGAGCTGGAGCTCTTCCTCCATTCTCCTCCCACACTTCTAGCCAGACCAGAGGATTAAATGAACAAACCCAGAAAGATGAAGTGAGCAAAACGAACATGTAGCAATCTGGGAAGTGCGGCTGCGGTTAAGGCCCTGGGCAGTTTCTTTGCTCTTTTGCAAGGTGAATTCTTCCAGCCCCTGAAACCTCCCCATCCAGGGAACGGCTGGCTTTTTTTCCCCATTGTCAAAAAATATTAAGTCTTAAAGTGAATGTGTGATGTCACAAGGAAAGCAGTAGTGTAGTAATGCTGTGTTAGAGCAAAACGGCCTCTGCTCTCCACTGTGACTTCAATTAGAGAATTTTTCTCTTAATGTTGGATTGTAAATAGCCATTTTATCTGTTCTCCCTCCCCAGTGTTCCTGCTGCTTGTTCAGGGCAGGTTCTGACATTCTTCTCCCCCCACCCCCAGTGATTTATACATCAGGGACCAGTGGAAACTGCATCAAATTGAAATAGTATTTGTAACTGACTTGATCAAGTATATATTGTAGTGGATTTGGAAAAAGCTGTACTGTGGAGTCTCTTCTGTCCTGTATGCACCAAACCCTCTTTAAATGCACACAGTATTTTTTTATTACTGTCTATGGTATATTTTTATCTCTTGGGTTTGGAGCTGTATGTAGGTAGATTCCCATCCTCCCTTTAAATGTTATATTTCTGGGGAAAAAATATTTATTTAATTAAAAGGACTGTAAATACAAAATAAAGATTTAGTTATTTAACTTCAGGCTGAATGTGTTTCCTTGGCTGGCTGCGGACTGCAAAAGCAGCACATCTGACAAGCCAAAGAGGTCTGGAATAGGGGAGGTGTGTTCTGGCAAGCACCAGTTTTTGGCAGGGGTTGTGGAGTAATCAGGACTCTGATGAAGTAGGCCTGGGGAGAAAAGCACCAGAGGCGCTTGCAGTGTAATGTAAAGGACAATAGCACTGCCGGATCTAGAGTACACTTGGCTGGAATTACAATAAATGAAAAGTTATTTGGAGGGGGGGAAGCCTCCATGGTCTAGAATAGGATGGAGACCGTTCTGCTCCTGCTTTCAAGCTTGCATGAGCAAATATGGGTATTTTCCCACACAAATTAGGTGCACAAAATGCATGTGCAGTTGGGTACCTATCTTGCTCTTAAAAAATCTGGTCCCTAAAACATCCTTGACACTTTGAATTCCTGGGCAGGTAAAACAGCCCTGACACTCATGGAACTGAGTGAGTTCCAAACTCTCTGGGAAGAGAACTGAAGTTCTAGTAACGTCAACCTGGCCACCCTGTGCACGTGCCTCGAGGCCTCATTCTTATTTTTAAATGACCAGCTGTCTTCACAGAGAAGGCAAGGCAGCAGCCGAGTTCTGTGCAGCTTCATGTGACATTTTATGTAGAGCATTTAATCCTCTAGTTTGCATAGCCATCAACTTCAGCTTCCTGTACCTCGGGGCTCTAGGGCTGATAGGGCAGCTTGGCTGCACTGAGGCCTCTGTTACTCCTGAGGGCATTCTGCGCTTAAAAAAATAGTGTGCACAGAATTTTTTTAAATTCTGCAAAATGTATTTGTCAAATCAATAAGTGGCAGAGGGGAGCACAGGCCACTGGCTGCACAGAGGTGGGAGATCACTGTGCAGCTCCCCCACCATGGGACACGGATTGAGGGATGAGGCTGCACCCAACCCTGACACAGCACAAGGACATGGCCTGCCCCAGAAACACCCCAGGGCCCTGCCCCTCCATGCCAGGTGTGGACAGGCAGGCTCAGCAAGGCAGGATCTGTGTGGGTGGGTGGGGGGATCCAGGTGTAGGTTGAGAGGGTTCTGTGTGGGGCAATCTGGACTGGGCAGGTGGCTCAGTGGGGAATCTGGATGCACAGGGGCTTGGGGGGGGGGCACCCTCTGGTGCAATGGGTCTCTGCAGGGGGTCCAGGTGAAGGTGGTTTGGGCTCAGTGGTGGGGATCTGGGTGTGGGGGGAGATAGAGCTCATCAGGGGGGTCTTGGTGTGTGGGGATCAATGGGGGTGGGGTGTCCAGATGCTGGAGGAGTGGGGCTCAGTGAGGTGGGGCTCCAGGTGCATCTGGTTGGGGCTAGGTAGGGTGGGGATCCAGGTGTGGGTGGCTTGTTGGGGTGGTGCAGGGGGAGTGGGGCTTGTCGGGAGGGGTGAGGCTCGGCGAGGGGGTCTGGATGCACAGGGGTTGTGCGGACGGGGAGCAGCTCCCTTTACAGTGATCCCTCCTCCTGCAGCTGAGGAGCGATGGGTGCAGGAACCTGGGGAGGGGGAAAGGGGTTTGCAGAGCTTCCTACAGCCGGGGGTGGGTCTGACCTGGCCCTGGATGCCATGCAGGGGTTAGCCCTGCTTTTAGCAGGGGTTTGGAGTAGATGACCTCCTGAGGTCTCTTCCAACCCTAATCTTCTATGAAAAGGAAGTCCTATCCTCCCCAACCCAGCCGGGACTAGCAGGGTAGGAGCGACCAGCCATGTCTTCCCCAGTCCCGCCCCCTCCCCCACAGTGATTTATCTCTCTCCTGGCTGCTCTGGGCACCCAAAGCATACTGCTGGGGAGGGTCTCATGACCGCTCTTGTGGCTTCCCTTTGCTTCCCTGTCAAAATTATTTTTCTGCGGGGAAGCAAAGAAATCTGTGGGGAACATAAATTCTGCACATGCTCAGTGGCACAGAATTTCCCCCAGGAGTTCTGTTTGTCAAAGGCGCAGCCATAGAGCAAACTCCCTTCACCCTGATCTCAGGGGAATAGGGGAAAGCAGCTTCCTTTAGGGCAAAGGGGGGCAGTTCAGCTGCCATGGGGTGCCTTGCCTAGGTCTTCCAGAGGTGGGTCTGGCATTGCTTCACATTTCCCCAAGCCTCCCTGCCTTGTTTCTTTCAGTGGGAGGCCATGGCCCCTTGCCCTGGATATGGGTTTGTGTTTCAATGCTGTACCAAGCACACCTGTGTGTGCTGGGCAGTGCCTACTGGCCCATGTGAATGCGGTGTCATGTCTCTCCCAACCAAGACCCAGTGGGAGACGCTGGCATACCTGTTTGGGCAGTTTGATGGTTCTCCAAAGAATTCACAAGACGCTTTCCATAAACAAAACCATTCAATAATTACACCTAACACTCCAATACAAAAGCCAGCCCCGGCTCTGATGGGGCGAGTGACACTCCTTGCCTCCTGCGTGTGCTCAACACTGTCACCATAATATACAACTGTGTCAGTTAGACAAATCTTAAACCTAGGGTGACCAGACAGCAAGTGTGAAAAATTGGGATGGGGTGGGGGGTAATAGGAGCCTATATAAGAAAAAGACCCAAAAATCAGGATTGTCCCTATAAAATTGGGACCTCTGGTCACCCTACTTAAACCCGCTGGCTAGGCAGGGCCTGCAGGCTGCCTGCTTGAGCCAATGGGCCTGCCAGCCTGAGGGGAAATCGGCTGCCTTCCTATATATAAATACAGCTTATCTTAAACGCTCTGGTGAGAGTCAGTCTGAAGCTTATCTTGGCTTGAGGACAGGAGAACTTTGTGATGATTCATAGGAATTGCACCCTGGCCACCAAAGCTGGGTCCCTCCCCATCCCCTGGGGCCCGTGCTTCCTTTTTTGGTCACGGTGGGTGTTTTGCAAAGTCTGAGGAGGGAGGGAGTGACTCGGCCGAATCAACGTCCCCCATCAGGGCCTCCAGCAAGGCTGCTGCCCTGGCGCCCCTCTAGGGGAGTGGCACAGCCTAGGTTGGGGCAGAGGTGGGCAGCCCAGTGGGCGCTCACTTTTGAGAAGGGCTGGGGAATGGTGCTTGTAGCTGTGTGCGGGGTAACATTCAGCAGGGCGGGGGCTTGTGATCCTGGTTGTGACCAATGCATCCCCCCCATGATATTCCATCCAATCTTGTGTGTGCCTTCCCCCCCCACACACATACACACTCCCGGTACCTCCAGGAGAGGCCAGAGGCCTTGGTCACCTCCCTAGGGCTGTGACTGGCACAGCCTTCTCCACTGTCCGGGACTGGCTGGGGGAGGCGCAGCACATGTTGCCCAACAAAGTACGTAGCTTAGAGTTTTGTTCCCTGCGTCCCAACCGTGGATAAAGCCCCTGCCCTGCCTGCTTAGCCACACCCCTTGCCAGCTCAGCCCCCCATCAGTCCAGGAGCCAGCGGAAGCGCATACTGGAGTCCTGCATCTCCTTCTGGTAGATCTTGTGGAAGAGCATGTTCTGCAGCGGGGTGAAGTGGTCTCTCCAGTCTCCAACTGTCCCTAAAATGGAGGAGAAGATGCAGAGTGAAGCTGGGTACTGGCCCAGAGCCAGGCGTATCAGCCTTTCCCTATCAGGACCCAGATACCATGGTGATGGGCGCAAAAAGCCTATCGAGAGGACACGCAGCTGTGGGATTCACTCTGCTCCTCAGAGCCCACTGGGGATCAGTTCGGAGTGCAGAACACCTGCCCCTGGGAGCACGGCATCCTGTCCCTCCCCACCCCAGCCGGAACGCTGCCAGGCTGCTGCAGGGCAGCCCTTTGACGGTTTGCTAGCAGTCCGCAGTGGGAGGCGTTACCAGGAGTTCCTTCAGCCAAGCCTAG